ACATTTTTATTCATAAATGTTGTACAGGACAATCCTTGGAGCCAAACTGCCACCATTTTCAGGAGTTCTGGGCCAGTGAGAAAAGATCATCATGGTTGGACTTGTTGTCTGTCAATGCTCACTCCGAGAAGGAAGGGGCAGGGTGGGCCATGGGGACCCCTACCTGAGTATTAACTCACCCCTCCCAACCCTATTGCACATGTTATTGGGGGAGGGTGCTAAGGATGACAGGTGGGAAAAGATGAGGGAGGTGGTTGATCTTTACAGCTGTGGGAAAGCCATCATCCCTGCAGAGTGAAGACCTTCTACTGAGGCTTCTTCAGGGGCTCCTATCTTCCTACCTGCTACACCTAAATAAGCCTGATAAACTCTTTGGTTCCCCTGGGAGTAACTTTGGTGGAAATGAACTTCAGTTTGTCATAAGACCTTTGGAACAGGGCTAGACATTTTACACCATTACCGGGAAAGCGGTTTAAGCAATAATACATAACAAGCAATTTTAATTTTTAAATATACTCCAGCACTACTAAATGACTCACCTACATTAAGACAAACTTACTGAATTTTCATAGTACTGTTTAGAAGGATGTTTAAAGCAGTCACATACATGGTATAAACTGGAAACATACATACAATGTTAAACTCTTCCCTGGAAATTCGTGTGCATGTATTAATTCCTATAGGTATGACAGAAATCCCTAGTGCTGGACCTCATGCTTCTTATCATGAGTGGTCATAAACCTGGTAGAGGCCATGTTTATTAATTCAACAATTAATTTTAAAATGTCAGACACTGTTCTTGGTGTTGAAGAGGCCCTGAACAAGAATGACCCAAGTCTGGAGGGAAAGGATGTTTAAAGCATCTACACATGGTATGAGTCAAAAGTATAAATGCAATGTTCAAACATCTCCTGGCTATCCACTGAGGCATGAGGAGCAGCTGGGGGACAGGGCACATCCTTAAAAAATGGACTCTCTCTCCCACAGACGCCATCGGTGGTCCATAAGCTGAGAACTTTTAGCCTTAAGTGAGAACACACTTCCAGAATGCTATAAACACAGGTGGTGTATGATTCTACTCTTAGTAGATTTTTTTTTGAGACAGGTTCTCACTTTGTAGCCCTGGCTGGCTTAGAACTCACAGATATCCAGTGCCCTGTGCTGGGATTAAAGGCGTAGTCTACCATAGCCAGCCCTATTGTCTTGTTTTTTAAAACATTACTCTAGGACTAATCTTATCAAATATTAAAGCATTTTATAATTCTTCAAACTACTGAAAACTAAACTGCAATTCAATACATAAGAGGGTCCAGAAGACCCAAGTATATATGGTAATTATGTCATTTAAATTAAGTGAGGAGAATCAATTACTGTTGACATTTTTGTATAACTGAGCATCTCTCTCAATAAAAATTACTCAAGTTGAATGTATAATTTAGTAATTTAAGGAAACAAAATGAAACCATGAAAGACACAGGGGGACTCATAAGAGAAACATAAAAAACATAAAAAATTGGATGGAGAATGGCTACCTTATGGAGGTGCCGGAGTTTAAACATAGGATTACGGGTGTTTCACCCTTTTTCCCACATCCTGGAACAGTGGCGTATCTTGGCACCACCTCACCAGGAGCAAGTGATGATGATGATGATGATGATGATGATGATGATGATGATGATGATGGTGATGGGGGGGTATAGGGATTTTCAAGGAAAAGAGAGAGGTGGGAGGTGCAGGAAGCCATGGAGTTGGCCTAGCTATCTTGAGAGATATGTGTCATAGGTTTGTCAGGTTAGAGTCCATGGTTCCTGGGGCACAGTACGTCTTCCAATTCCTGAGAGACCAATATACTCTCTCAGGCAGTGAAACGTTCAGGCTGCTTTGTGTTCTCGGTATGTTTCCTTGGAAGTCAAGGAAGCTTGACAGAACAATTGGTCTTAGATGTTAATCTTGTGTGCTCTGTATAGCCTGCAAATATCACTGTATTATGGCAATGGCAACTGTATGGATCCTGGCCACTGCCAAGGTATTCTGTTTCAGATAAGGGTGTAAAAAGTCTGATTGCTCTCAATAAAATTGCCACAGCTTGAGTGTTGCTGCGAACCCTCCAGCTGCCCTGGTTTCTTTCCTCTTGGCCATATCAGGCGACCTTGGCCAGTCAGAAAGGTATCAAAGATGACCTAACAACTTCCAGAGTCATAAATAATTTGAGGAATGTAGTGGGTGATCCTGCTGCTTACTGAGCTAAAGAAGGCAGAAAGGGATGTTGGCAGAGATACTAAAAAAAAAAAAAAAAAAAAAGGCTTTGGGTTGAAACCTGTTGCGTATGTTGAATACATAAAAAAACTCTTTAAAATAATTGTTGTTTTTTTTTTTTTGTTCTTTTTTTTTTTTTTTTTTTTTTTTTTTTGAGAGAAGGCCTCATGCAGCCAGGCTGTTCCATTCTCCTCTGATTCTGCATTATCTGTCCCTGGGCTTGTGTCACAGGCCACCATGCCTGACCCCATATAAAGGACTCTTGAAATTTAAAATGTGTGGGGCTGGAGAGATGACTCCGTGTTGTTGATTGTTTTTGTTTTTTAAGCCAGGGCCTCATTGTGTGGTCCGGAATTCACTATGTGGACCAAGGCTGTCGTCAAAACTCAGAGAGCCACTCGTCTCTGCCTCCCAAGTGCTGGGATTAAAGGCATGCACCACTATGCCCAGCTGGTTCAGAGGTTTAGAGCATTGTTCTTGCAACGGACCTGGGGGCACCCATGTGGTGGCTCCCAGTCATCTCTAAATTGTAATTCCAGTTCCAAGGAAGCTGATGCCTTCTGAGCATCTCAGGCACCTGGCACGAATGTGGTAGATATACACCTATGCAGGCAAAACATCCATACATATAAAATAAATCTTAAAAAGTTTTAAAAAATTGTAAAAGAAGAAAAATTAATTAAATACGAAGTATTTATGACTTTATTCTGAGATTCCAGGGGGTTGAACTTATGGTCCCGAGCAAGCAACCGACCACCAAGCTACATCTCCAGACTTTAACAAAGGACTTAAATGGACATCTTTCTAAAGAAGATAAATAAATGGCCATCAGGTACATGAAAAGATGCTCAAAAACCTTAGTCCTTGGAGAAATGCAAATCAAACCAGAAGGAGATGGCCCTTTGCACCGACTAAGATGCTGTAAGGACACAGTGGAATCAGAAGCCTCGAACCGTGCTGGCGGGGATGTAAGGCTGCTCGCACTTTGGAAAACAATTTCGGCAGTTTCTCAAAATGTTAGACTCAGGGTTCTGATGTGGGTATACATTTCCTCTCCTTGGCATTTGCCTTTGAAACACGTCACAATAGAAAGACTTACACACAAGCGTTCCTGGAAGCATTATTTACCACAAACAAGACGTGGAGACAAATACCTGTCAGCTGACAAGGAGGATGACAAAATGTGGCATATCCACACAAGGGAGTGTTTGTCAGGAAAAAGAAATGGAGTTCTGAAAACCCGCCGCCATGAGAACGCTCAACATTTGACAAATGGAAAGAAATCTGATTAGATGTTTTATTCTCCACATATGAAACACACAGAATAGGCAAGGTCTTAACAGAAGCATAAAGGAAGGATTGCCTAATGCTGGAAGAGAGGGAGAAAAGAGGAGTGATTGCTCACAGCTTCCGGCTTTTGTTTTTGGTGTAATAGAAAAAGAGTTCTGAGGCAGATTATAGCAATTATAGTTCTGTAAAACACATTAAAAACCAATACTTTCTTTCCCATGCCCCCTTTGGTGTGTGGAGGAGGCAACTCTTAAAAAAAGAAAGCATTCAACTAGGGGCTTGCTTACAGTTTCAGAGGGTTAGTGCATTATCATCATGGAGGGCATGGCAGCATGAAAGCAGACAGAAGGAGCTGAGAGCTACGTCCTGGTTAGCAGGAAGAGAGAAACACCAGGCCTGGCATAGGCTTTTTTAAACCTCAGAGTCTACACCCAGTGACACACCTTCTCCATCAAGACCACAGTCTTAGTCCTTTTCTATATAGTCTACCGACTAGACAGTCAAATAGATGACCTTTGGGGGCCATTTTCATTTAAATCACCACAACAGCAAGAGAAACACAGCCCCAGCCAAAATTCATCATTATTTGCCACGATGCACAGTTGTAATTCTGGTACCCAGGAGGTTGAAGCAGGAGGATGTCGGTTTGAGGCCAGCCTGAAATACAGAGTGAGACCTTCTTTTAAAATAAAATGAATAGAAAAAAAAATAAAACCAGTGAATCTGGACACATTAAAAAAGTTCTTAACTTGATTATTGTGATCCCCCCCAATTAACCAAGCTCCTCACACGTTTTTCAAACATGTCTTTTTTCCCCTCAAGACCCACTGAGTTTAGTCAGGATCACTTGTGTTGCAATGAGTTTGCAACTTCCCATTGGAGCCTGGTGGGCACTCAGCGGACACTCAATTGAAAATGAGCGTTTCTCTCATAGAATACACCAGACGCCAACGCTTCCTCATGGAGAGGTAGGGCGTGGATCACACCTCAACCCATGGCTGACTATTAACGCCCGGTGTTGTGGAAATTCATTGCAAGCAGTTACACTGTCGTGAGGTCGTGACTGCTTGGGCTCTGCCATTCTCAAGTAACTTGCGTGTGTACATACAATACATACATACACAAACACGTACTGTTTCGGGGCCTCTGCCACTCTGAGTGCTAGGATTGAAGGCGTGCACCACTCCGCCTGGCTAAATGTACACTTTTTAAACCGACGAACTTTACGACACATAAATTCGAGCTCAATAAAGTTGAAATCCAACTTCGTTGGGGTACTAGGTTTTCTAAGTTCGTGGGCAAGTAAAGAAAAACAACTGACTGGGGCAGCGAGGTCACGCCCCCTTCCCTCGTTACCTAGCAACCAGTTTCCTACTGTACGCTTCCTCAATCTTTCCGTCACTTCCGTTCTCAACAGGAAGTGAGGTCAACCTGCGGCTTTCCCGGGAGTTCAGCGTTCGCCGCAGGTTAAGTAGTCTTCCTGGACGGGCGCTGGCACTGTCCACGTCCAGGGCTGGTGCGAAGGTCCGGGGTTCGGGGCACTCGGACACGCGAGGGCCCAGGGCGGCAGGGGAGGAGTCGGCGGCGAAGCTGCTGGTTGTCCGGAGTCCCGAGTGTGCTTGCTCTCTCAGTGGTTCACCCCTCGGCTCTAGGTCCCGGACATTTCTGCACTCCTCCCCTAACTACCCAGGTCCTACGTCTGAAAGAAGACCCCTGACAGAAAGCATTCTCTCCTCGCCGACTTCCGTTCACGCCCAAGCCCCTCAGAGCTCTACCAAGACCTCCTGGGATCTGTCAGCGACTTTTGAGTTGCCAGAGGCCTTGGGTAAATGTTCCCTGAGTGCTAAAGCGGGGGTAGGGAGATATAGTTCCTGCAAAATAATGGGGTTAGGGAACTGACTTGAGGCAGTGTGCATTTTGCCTTACTCTTCTTGAATGTCTCTGGCAGGGTGTCTTGTTGCAAACCAGAGGAGTTTGCCTTGGTTTAGGTAGTGGGAGGAAATGCTGCAAGAGCCCAGGTGAGGCTAACTTTGTAGATCTTTGACCCTCTTAGGAATTAAATGACCCGTTTGCCTCGGGTAACTTACTTTTAAGCAGGTACTTGTTTTTGTTTTTCAAGACAGGGATTTACTGTGTAGCCTTGGCTGGCCTCGAGCTCAGAGATCCACTTGCCTCTGCCTCCCAAGTGCTGGGACTAAAGGTATGCTCCACCAACCACCCGGCTGTTTAATGTGTTTCTCCCCAGCGTGTAAGCTGTAGTTTTTCTTGGACAAGGACTGAGACATACAGCACTTTTGTCATTTTTTTTTTTTTTTAGCACAAAACACATAGTACTGGACACGGAAAAGGTGCATTCATACTTGAAGATCTGAGTATCAGTGAATAGTGTTTTTACATTTTTTTGCTTAATGTTGAAGAGATCACACTAGCCATGGTGGGATCCCAGCACTTGCAAGGTGGGGGCAAGAGGTTCTGGAGTTCAGACTCACTCCCTGGCACAGAGTTCCATGCCAGGCCCGGGCTACTTAAGACCTTATCTCAAAACAAGACGTACAAATTAAAACGTTGAAGGTATATTTTTTAAACGCAGTTCAGCTTCTGGAAGGGATGAAATAGCACAATCTCTACAGGTAAAAACAGTGACATCTGTTTAGATTAAATTTTCTGAATTTGAGCCCCCATTCAGAGGCTTACTGGAAAATGGTGCACCTGTGTTTTAGGAAAAAGGCCAAATAATAGTGACCTCATTGCTTCTTTGTTTCTTTCCATTTTAATATTCGTACTATCTCTCCCTTTTCCCATCCTCTTGAATAGGTATCGTGTCTTAACGTGCTGACCCAGAGGTGCTGGCCATTATGGGAAATCAACTTGCTGGCATTGCTCCTTCCCAGATCCTCTCTGTAGAGAGTTATTTCTCAGACATCCATGACTTCGAGTATGATAAGAGCCTGGGAAGTACTCGTTTTTTTAAAGTTGCTCGAGCTAAGCACCGGGAAGGCCTGGTGGTTGTGAAGGTCTTTGCAATTCAGGATCCCACGTTGCCTTTAACTAGTTACAAACAAGAGCTGGAGGAACTGAAAATCAGGCTCCATTCTGCACAGAACTGCCTACCTTTCCAGAAGGCAGCAGAAAAAGCATCTGAGAAAGCAGCCATGCTGTTCAGGCAGTATGTGAGAGACAACCTCTATGATCGCATCAGTACCCGTCCGTTCTTAAATAACATTGAGAAGCGTTGGATCGCTTTCCAGATCCTGACGGCTGTGGACCAAGCACACAAATCTGGAGTCCGCCATGGCGACATCAAGACAGAGAATGTGATGGTCACCAGTTGGAACTGGGTTCTTCTGACTGACTTTGCCAGTTTTAAGCCCACTTATCTCCCAGAGGACAACCCAGCAGATTTCAACTATTTCTTTGATACCTCCCGCAGGAGGACTTGCTACATTGCTCCTGAGCGTTTCGTTGATGGTGGTATGTTTGCCACTGAGTTAGAATACATGAGAGATCCCTCGACTCCGCTTGTAGACCTAAATAGCAATCAGAGAACCCGGGGAGAGTTGAAGAGAGCCATGGACATCTTTTCAGCAGGTATTTGAGTCAGTCAGATTAGCTAATGTGTAAAGTAACTTTATTCACCTGATGTCATTGTCCCAGAGGCTTACTGCCTCCATCTACTATCCTAGGCCTAGTCCTGGAAGCTTCTAGCCTCCGTGCACTCTGATTTAGGCCTAGAATGTTTTCAGCCTCTTAAGACTTTTTAAGACTTACTGCTGAATAAGCTCACCCTTTCTTGTTCTTTCTGAGCTCTGGCTGGCTGGTTCTGGCTTAAACCCCTTTCCAAACTGACTGATTCAAACTGGCTTCTGTCTCAGCCTCTGAATTAATTACTCTGCATGGCCTCAAACTAACTCTAGCAGTCTTTTCTAATTTTCTGGCTCTTTCTCATTCCCTGGGGCATTCTGTCTTCACCTGTGGCTAGTTCTCTCTCTACAATCTATTTCTGTCCCAGCAAAACTGCCTCCTCTCTTTCTCCTTCTCTGTGCTGCTCCCTTAAGTAGCTTCCCTTTTCTCTCTCTCCTCGTGAGAGTTGGGCTTACCGTGTTCTGTCAGATCTTCCTCTGAGCCGTTACTTTATCTGCCACTCAATTAAACATCACTTGCAAACATGGGTGCTTACCTCTATAAACTTTACCTTCATTGTTTGGGATTAAAGGTATATACCACCACACCTGGACTTAAGCTTTCTTTACCTGAAACTTGGTCTATACCAGGCTGGCCTTGAATTCAGAGATCTGCTTGTCTCTGTCTCCTGGTATTTTAAAGGCATGTCTGTATTACAGCCAGATCACACAGGCCTAGGAGGTCTTTGGATGTGATCTCTTGCCATAGCAGCCATATTCTGAATTAAAATTCCTCTACACTAATTTGACATGTTTTAAATGTCAAACATAGAAATGTAGCCTTTTGTAAATTGCCAGATTTTCAAAAATTCGTTTTCTATTTTTATTTTTTAATATTTTTATTATTAGTTATATTTTATTCTGTATCCCACTGTATCCCGCTCCCTCATTCCCTCCCAATTCCATCCTCTGTCCCTCCCTCATCTCCTCCCTGCCCCTTTCCAAGGCCACTGATAGAGGTGGACCTCCTCCCCTTTCATCTGACTGTTTTATCAGGTATCTTCAGGACTCAAACATTCTTTTGATATGCCCTCATATACTGTCTCAGATACATGATTTCCTCATTGGACATGCTTAAGTGATGAGAAAATGAAAGTACTTTTCATTAAACATTCAAAACATAAACTTCACAGTGCTGGTGACATGGAAGGATGCTACATGTCTGTTTTAAGATAGAAGAGAAACACATTTCACCTTTTGTTTGCTTTGGTGGTGATAAGCATACATGCTGTAATAGAAACAGTCAAATAAGTCTCCATGGGAGTGATGGGTAGAGAGGCAGGCCTCAATTAGAGTGATGGGATTCCTTATCTCTTTGGCCCAGATGGCTTGCTGCATCAGTGCACATATCAGGAGCCCCCTTGACCTTCATGGCATAGCTGTGTGTTTCTCATAGTGCCTGGCTTGAAGCCCACTCCACAGATGCACTTAGGAATGTTGACAGTGGGCTCTGCGGGCACCACTTTGCTGATGGCAGAATGACCCTCTCCTTTCTTGCCACCATTGTTTGCAGAAGCCATGCTGCCTGGCCTAAGTTAGAAAGGGTCCCAGTACACAGTCAAGCACTGCTCCCTGAGCTACCTCCACAGCCCTTTCAGTTTTAGACAGGGTCTTGCTTAGTTGCCCAGGCTGATCTTTAACTTTGCTTCTCCTGCTTTGGCCTTCCCTTTAACTGGGATTGTAGGTGTGCTTTTTCTAGTCCATCGCCTGAACCACTCGGCCACGGCTACATGGAGGTGTGCTCTCTCATGTAGCTGGGATGACAGGAATGCACCATCGCTCTCACGTTTCCCAAGTTCCCTTCATCCATTAATTTTTTAGGAGTTGTGTTGTCTACTTTTCTATAGCTGAGATAAAACACCACAACCAAGTCAGTTAAAAAAAAAAAAAAGACAGAATTTAATTTGGCTTTCAGTTTCAGAGGGTTCGATAGAATATGCACTCATGAATCTGTGTGTTGGTTTCTCTAATTTTGAAGCTACCTGGATTCAGGCATAGAGGGTTCCTGTTGATTTTAATTCTGATTAATTCCCAGAGGCCTCACCTCTGCCACCATTGTCAGATTAAGTTTTCTCCATAATACTTCACAGTGGGAATTTGAGTTCAACAAAGGAAGCCCTGGGGTACACCGAAACCTTGTATGCCATAATGTTAAGGATCATTTTGCGTCTTAGCTGAGGTCTTGTCTAGATAGTGTATATTTTATAGGCTCCTAGGAATTTGTATTCTGCTATCATGTCTAGGATGTCATACTGTTGTTGGCTAGGTCTGGTTGGTTTATAGTGCTTCTCAGCGCGTGTGTGCGCGCACACACACACACACACACACACACACACACACACACACACATACACACACACATACACACGAGAGCCTGCAAGGGAGTGTGCTGAGAAGCACACAACTTGGTTGTGTGTGTAGGTCAGAGGACAGCTTGTAGGAATGGGCTCTCTCCTTCCACCATGTGGGACTTGGAGGTTGAACTTAGGCCATTAGACTTGGTGGCAAATGCTTTTACCCACTGACCCATCTTACTGGCCTTGGCACTTGATTTCTTCTTCCTCTTAAAAACAGCTGTTGTTTGAAGTCCTTTCTTTCTGAAATTAACATTGTATCAATAGGAATTAACAAATTTACTGAATGTTTATTATGTATCAGAACTATCCTAGTTGGTGGATGTTTCAGTGCACAGAATGGGGGAGACTATTCTATGGAGTTTGCATTCTCGTGGGCACAGAGAGTTAACAGGCAACATAAGATAGTCTTCCAGTAGGTACTGTGTGGGAAAATAGCTTTCACTCTTTTCAGAAAACTGATGTGGAGGAGATGGAGTGGCTCTTGCAGTCTCTCTCTCTTTTTTTCCTGAGACAGGCTCTCTGTAGTCCGGCTGTTTTGGAAACTCACTTTGTAGGTCAGGCTGCCCTAGAACTCACAGATGCACCTTTTCAGCTACTGGGATCAAGGTCGTGCACCACCATGCCCCGTGGCTCTTGAAGTCTTAAACAGATAGTTAAGAAAGGATTCACTGCTGGCTGACAAGGTTCTGCTGGAGGTGGAGGCCTAACTAGCATCCACTAGTACTTTGGGCGAGTGTTCTTGGCAGAGGGAGCAGCAGGTACAAAGACTGTCGTGTAGTTATTAGTTATTGAAGAGTCTCTGTGTAAGAGTTGTTAAGAGAATGTCATGTAATGACTCAATAACATTGCTTTCTACAAAAAAAAAAAAAAAATGAAACTGCTTTGTGCTTTTGGGACTGTAGGTACTTTAAAAAATTCATTTTTTTAAAGACAAGGTTTGTGTGTGTGTGTGTGTGTGTGTGTGTGTGTGTGTGTGTGTGTGTGT